CGCAGTAAGTCAGTGAGGACATTTCCACAGCGGGAAGATGGGCATTGCCATTCTTACAGATAAATAAGGCGAGCTCGCCCGCCATAAAATGCCAATGACGATCAATTGATAGTCCCCACAAGATACATCCTCCCGTGCCGAGTAGAGCTGCAGGATAAGCAAGCCATAGGTACATAGCAGGTGTTATGATGTCGTTGTTGCTTTTTGAAAGCCGTGAAGCGAGATTGTCGAGCATTCGACCAGAGCATACGATTTCTATGGTGACAGTGCCGGAGATGAGGCCAAGCCAAAGCAGGCCTTGCGTTTGAGTGCTGTATTGCGCATATGCCACGGGCCCCATTGTGAGAATGGACACGACCCTGAAAGATCTCTGTCAGTAGAAGGTCACCAAGATGAGGACAAACTCTGTAGAAGTCCGTGTGTTGCAGTATTACTTACCACCAATACTGGAAGAATATGTAGGGGATGATGGCACACATGAGTCGAGGTTGTGTCAAGAGGTTCATGAATCGAATGGCTGTCATGAAAGCCCGCCTCTTAGATCCGACTTGAAGCTGCTGTACTTTCTGCAAAACCGTGAGTATAATCAAGAAGCCGAGTTGCGAATAAGCTTACCCAGAACCTCGAACTATTTGTTCTTTTGACACTTTCCAATTCTCTGTCCGGTGTGACACCATCAGATATCAAGTCCCGTGGATAGAATGTTTCTGGCAAGAGGAAAGCCTCCAGCAGCAGGAGAACGCCGTATGCAATTGCGACGTGGTACTGCACCCACAAGATCCCAGCACCAGCAACAAACCCTCCCACTATTTCCAGAGTCAGATCTACCCTTCCGTTAAACTCCAATCAAAACTCACGAAAGGCACCAATCATACCTCCTACATCGATCGACAAGATCCAAAGACCAGTCTTAAACCCTCTCTCGTGTTCGTACGTGATGTCTTGAACAATAGCAAATCCTACGTTAAGCGCTGGTCCGGCGCCAATTCCTTGAAGAAGGCAGAGCAGCAGATATGCCACATAGGGCAAATTGGCAGTCGTCGTGCAGCCGGTGGCTACCAGAGTGATTAGAGTAGTGCCCAGCAGAACAGGGCGACGACCCCAGATATCCGAGAACCCTGCAAAGAGCAAGATCTCGATGGCAAGACCCAGAGCAGGGACGCCTAAGGACCAATTAACCTTGTTATAACTGATGTTGAAATGCTCTTGGAGCAGTGGAAGTGATGCCACCGGTGCGGTTGTCAGGTAAATGGACAAGAAGCCGGCGTAACAAACAATGAATAAGATAAGTGCCTTTTCGGACTTTGACCAGTTCAGGGGATCTAACGGGTCCGAATTCGGTTGCGGGACCAGAGGTAGGCCGCGTGGGTCAACCAAGACTGCTCGTCCAGATGCCGGGACGGCCGGCGTGGGAACATGACCATCCGCACTCTCCCTCTGAAGGGCTTCACTCATCTGACTATCGTCCTTCATAGCCTTGCTGGGGTCGTCGCGTGTTGTCTTGGGGTCTTGAAGTTTCGACATCGTAGAGTATGCTCAGATAGTATGGAGACCGATGTCATTGAGAAAGAATTCATGGGTGATATTTGATTCATGTCAGGAGACTTGCGAAAGCCATCCTGACCTTCTCCCACCCTCTAGTCTCTAGCCATCCCGCGTATGTTGCCATCAGAAATGATGCATGCCCTCGATAAGCTGTGAACATTCTACGTAACCAGTGCCGGCAAATGACATCCGCATATCTCTCCCCGCGATAAAGAGATATGCTATCTCTGAAGGATGCTCGCAAATGGCCGGCCTGTTTCGTCCCACACGCTTGATGTCGGACGTTTGTGATAACAAGTTGTGGCCGGTGGCCAGCGGCTTATGCTGATCCGCATGAGCGGAAAATTGGCTTTTTTGAGGATTTTATCCATGGACTAGGTGCACAACATTAGTGGAAAGCAGCATGCGCATCCCATTTTAATGGATGCGTACATGGCCGGATAGACGACGGGCTGGTGTATCATGACTGAATTGGATTCTTCCTAAATAGGCAAGTTTTCCGCCCCTCCCCGGTCCATGACAAGGGGCGAGGTGAACACAGCGCCATGTGATCAGAGAACTATTCGAACAAGCAGCGGCGGATGATTTTTGAGTTTTTGACCCTAGTGTCTTTCGTGTGCCAGCAGCTGATTCAAATTTGAGTAGTTCAAGCTCCTAGTTCAGATCAAGACAGTGCAACGAAAATATTTTACAATAGACGTTCAACTATGAGGAACAAACAATACCAAGGTCAGCGTCTTTTCAGAATCCATGAAACTCCTGCTGACTTGACATATGGGTTTTACAGAGCCAGGAGCGATGCCCCCCGATCAACACGCAAACGACCCTACTGAGCGAACAACACTCCTACGACCAAGATCATCAACATCTTCGTCGAATCCAACCGGCAGGTGTGAATATGGCCTACTAAAAGAAAGCAAGATTGGGTTCAAAGAGGCCGTTCTTTTGCTTAAGTTGTCGTTACCGGTAATTGCAGCATACCTCCTGCAAAACTCGTTCCAAACCGTTTCAATGATGCTCGTTGGGCGACTCTATCCCGAGAGTCTATCAGTCGCCGCCTTCTCATACATGTTCAGTACATGCACTGGATGGCTCGTCGGAATGGGTGGTTCGACTGCTCTCGATACCCTTGCTTCGACCGCTTTCACTGGCCGCGACAAGCACTATACAGGCATCCTCTTACAAAGAGCCACGATTGTTCTCACATTGTTCTTCATTCCGGTAGCACTTATCTGGGTGTGTGTCGAGCCTCTATTTGTCGCTCTTGGTCAAGATAAATCACTTTCGCATGATTCGGCCAGGTTCCTGACGCATCTGATTCCTGGTGGTCTTGGATACATCTACTTCGAAATACTCAAGAAGTACTTGCAAGCCCAAGGAATCGTGCAGCCAACAACCTACGTCCTCCTGGTTACCGCTCCCATTAGTGCTGGTCTGAACTATTGGTTTATCAAGTTTTCAGGCTTTGGTGTGATGGGAGCTCCTTTGGCAACTGGCGTCGGGTATTGGCTGTCTTTCTTTGGCCTTTTCGCTTACGCATGCTTCGTCGAGGGATCCGAGTGCTGGAACGGTTGGGATAGGCGTTGTCTTGAGAACCTGCCAGCCTTTTCCCGCCTCGCTTTCCTCGGGTTTGTCCACTTGGGCACGGAGTTCTGGGCATTCGAGATTGTTGCTCTCGTTGCCGGGCGCCTTGGCCCGCTGCCGCTGGCTTCCCAAAGCGTTCTCATGACCGCAGATCAAGTACTCATTACCATACCGTTTGGCATCGGCGTGGCGACCAGTATCAGAGTTGGTGGGCTGCTTGGCCTCAGAGACAAAACCGCTGCCATCAGATCCGTCAAAGTCGCGATATTCTTGACTCTATCGGTGGCTACTTCCGTCATGATTTTGTTGATTGTCAGCAGATCTCGATTTGCTGCTATCTTCACACCTGATGAGACAGTGATATCATACACAGCAAGGGTACTGCCATGGGTGGCTTTGTTTCAAATATTCGATGGGCTCAACGGGAGCTGTGGAGGGTCACTTCGTGGGATGGGAAAACAGAACGTTGGCGCCAGTATCAACGCTCTCGCATACTACGTTGTCGCGTTGCCGCTTGGTACTTGGATGGCCTTTTCAGGATGGGAACTTTTGGGACTCTGGATAGGACAGACTATAGGCATGATTCTAGTCGCAGGCTTGGAGCTTGCTGCGATTCTTTCCAGCGACTGGGATGATGAGATCAAGAAAGCATTCCAGAGGATAGGTGCCTAGTTAGTCATATTCCATCACGAAAATTGCACGTAACTTTGTCAAGAACTATTGCTCGGGTTTAATACTGCCTGAATGTATGTAACTAAGATCCTATTTGGGTCGAATTACCTCTTTTGCTATATGAGGGCGTTATGCATGGTCTTTGAGACGCTGGAGACCATTCTGTTCTGCAGCTTTCGGCAGATATGGGCCTCTGTCCTATGACATTCATTGTGTTGATTGCCCTGGTGTGCCCTCGAAATGATCAACACCAGACCACGATCCCACAGGCGTTTGTGACAGCACACTCGGCTTCTCATGTTATTTGGACACATGCATTACCCAGTCGAAATCATGGTCGGTAGCTCTCCGATGCCCGGGTTCTTTTGGTGGGGCTTGCGGATAACTTTCCTGTCGTGGTTAGTTTCCACCTATTCCTACGATGAAAACATCAGCCATAAGACACAACTTCCATGAATTTCGGAGCCAGCGAAAGAGATTTTCATCCTCTTCAAGAGCTTTTCATCTACTCAGAAAAGCAATGTTTAGAACGTTTTACTATTGCTGCTTGGTGGCTGGATCACTCGCCCATGCAGTGCAAAGACCGCTGCAGGGCAATGACGACGCCGTGATACCCCAAAACTACGAATATGTACAGTTTTCTACCAAGAGCGAAACTCAATAACATTGCTGACTTACTGCAGGACAACTCTGCCTTTGCGGGTATCACAACCTATGGGCTGTTGCCTCACCTCCCTTGCCTTAAGGATGAGTCTGTTGCTTTCGACATTGCCACTGTCGGTACGTATTTCAATAAATGACCCCTTCCATTTTGTAATTGGGTGTATGGTTGACTTCCGTGTTAGGAATCCCTTTCGATAGCGGCGTTACCTATCGACCAGGAGCTCGATTTGGCCCTTCGGCAATTAGACAAGCCTCTCGGCACCTGACTCTGGCGTTAGTAACTCGCGTTCCTAGAGATAGTCAATCGATCGAGCTAACAGGTCACTAGAGGAGGATACAATGTGTAGGTTACGCCAATATCTGTGCATTCATGTCCCTGACTCCATAAACAGAGCTCAGCGCGTGAATCCTCTCAAATTCTGGGGACGGGCCCTCGATTGCGGCGATATTCAAGCTTCACCGTAAGGAGTAATAACACACCAAAATGATTCTTGTATTGAGTCTGACGTCAAACCAGCCATGACAAAGAAATTGCAATGGAAGACATTGAAAAGGGGTACACGAGCCTCCTCCAACGCCCGGCCTACACGAAATCGACAGCTGCTAGACCGAACCCTCTTAAAACGAACCCTCGACTTGTCACACTGGGCGGTGATCATACAATTCTTCTGCCTATTCTCCGAAGCATTCACAAAGTCTACGGACCGGTCAGCGTCATTCACTTCGATTCCCATCTGGACTCGTGGAACCCAACGGCAGGGGCGCCTTCAGATGCTGCACAGATCACACATGGCAGTTTCTTCTACTGGGCAAACCAGGAGGGGCTGATTTCCAATTCGAGCAATATGCATGCTGGCCTTCGTACGACTCTGTCAGGACTTGGAGACCATGATGAGGACGAGCTGTGTGGTTTTGCGCGTATTGAGGCTCGCGAGATTGACGATATCGGCACACGCGGTATCATCGAGAAGATCATCGAGCGTGTTGGCACCAACAGGCCGGTTTATTTGTCCATTGATATTGACACACTCGACCCTGCCTTTGCTCCAGCGACGGGCACTCCCGAGACTGGAGGTTGGTCGACTCGGGAGCTTCGCGCAATCATTCGAGGACTCTCTGACATCAACATCATTGGTGCGGATGTCGTTGAAGTGTCTCCAGTGTATGACACAAATGCTGAGGTCACATCGCTTGCGGCCGCAGATTTGGTCTATGAGATCATGAGCATCTTTGTGAGGAAAGGTCCGATGACAATGGCTGATGAGTAAAGATCTCTTCAAAAGCTATTCGGATATCAACCCTTGCTGTTTGATTACACTATTGTCATTCTGTCTGGACTGTGCAACGCTAGAATAAGAGTGTTCGAACCAGGAGCAAGACGCAGATGCCTGTAAGAAGGCTGTTGCGCTGAACAATACACTTAACAATATGTTCCGACAGCTGTAACTTGTTACTTGTGAATGGTGTACTCTATTTGTGTGAAATTTGGTTGGAATGGACCATTACTGACAGCTCGTTCAACGACCTCGTAAGCTTCACTTGCACAGTGACACGTTTAAGAAGTGGAGAGCAACCTCCTTTTCTGTTGAATTGCCCAGAGCGAGGCATTTAAAAGTGAGATAAAAGTACGATGCTTTGTAAGCTTTTTCTCTCTGTCCATTTATGCTAGAATAGGGAATCGATGCAAAAGTCCGGTTCCACTATTGCATTGTCGTTAGTATCTTGACTCTACCACGGTTCGGTTCACTCACATTTGTAGAACCAGTCGGGCCACCTGCTTCCTGGGTCAAGGTCTCGTACTTGCCACACATGCTCCAACGAGAGGCATACATCCTTTCGATTGTACGTAAGACCCCTTGGTGTACGTAGCCGTTCAAGAATTCTTCTCCTCCCTTCACCTTCGACTGCTTCGCAGCCAGCAATGAAAAGTGGAAACAAAACGGCATGAGAAACACGAGATGTGACAGGAATCTTCCCAATTTCGGACACGATAACCTGCACCTTCTTGCGTACCAGAGGAGCTGTAAATGGCATGCCTTTAAGGCGCGCATAGAAGAGTAGGAATGCTGCTGCGTGCATGGCCTCGTTCAGAGACCGCAGTTCCTTGGGGTCTGTAGTGCCTGTTTTGGAAAGATCCAGATCAGCTTCTCTAGCGGTAAGAAGTTCTTCTTCTAGCTTTATCATTTCCATTCCCATTGATGCATCCGATATGTAATGATTAATGGTCGAGCGAGACTTCTGAATGTCGAGAAGCCTAGCCAGGCGAAGAAGGGGGTTGACGAGACGAGAAGAAAATGCGTAGATCGGGTGATTTGTCCAGTCGCGGAAGGAAGGTAGATAGTTGTGCTCAATCTCTTCTCTTCGCATCTCCAAACCACGGTAGATCTTATCGCTCACCGGTTCTCGAGAACTCTGAAATGAGCATACGGTGGATATAATACTCCATCGCAACATGGAGAGTATCAGCTGGATGAACGGTGCAAGGAGATCTGAGGAGGATTGTGGACGTGTAGAAAAGCCGATAGCAAGTGTGCCTGCGTAATGCAAATATTCTTCGGAGTCATCCTGGCTAAAATGGTGTAGGAATATACCGCATGCAACGATTGAGAACAGAGACCAGCTTTGTGCACCAAGTGATGGCGTTTCGGATTTCAGGGCAACAGAAGCTCTTTTTGAGCAATTCCTAACGAGTTGGTGGAATTCGTTGCCGCTCCTACTGGTGTTGTACTGAAACGCAGCAAAACAGAAGATCGCGGACCGTAAACTTTCGTTCGAAATCGCCATTTGTGGGATAGTGGCTATGAACGGGTCTTGCGATCCTTGGAACCTACATAGGTTTTGTTCGTCGAGGCACAGAAATCCATCTTTTGTGATGTGCAGGAAATACTGCCAGAGGAAACGCCTCTCAGGCGATGAGAGCATATCCGGGGGCCAAGGCATCGGACAGTGAGTCGTTGATAATGACATTTGGAAGGATTCCTGGTAGTTCCCACCTATTGTGTTATAAGAAACCAAGCTTGAATTTGTTTCAAGATCATTTAGGATGGAGTCGAGGGCTTGGTCGAAGGTTGGAGAGTCCAAGAGCTGTGTCTCCAGTTGTATATCGTCGAAGACGGAAACTAATGCGTCGTTCGAAGCCAGCTCTCCATTTGATTCCGCACTCGGAACAGCATTTTCTTCTGTGAAAATTGTCTCAAAGTGAGGATCGCCCGTATTGACGGCTTGACTGGCGGGAAAACTGTGTCTCAGAATTCCACCGTCGCCTGTGTGGAGGTTTGGGGGCCAGAGATCGCTGGCTAGATCATCAGTTGAAGTTTCATCGTGACCAGCCACTGGAAGGGCCCTAGATGCAGGGCGGACCGTTGAGCCAGGATTTGGGCTTGGGCTCTCAAATCTTCTGTCGCTAGCAATATGTGTTCGTTTGCTTGGCCCTTGATCCTCGGACTCTCCGGGGGTCCATATCTTGAAGACTTCCAGGTCACAAGCCAGGTGAGATTTCAAGCACTGTGAACATTTGGGGCGCTTTTTATCGCACTACACACCCGTAACATTAGCTCCTTGTTTTGGTGTACATGGTGATAGTGTCATGAACCAATGACCCGTCGGTCCACGGAGCATTCCGTCGGGAGAGACGTACTCTTCGCTTCTTCCGAACGCACTGCGCACATGCCCCTCTGGTCCGTTTGCTATGCCTGGTAGGCATACTTGACAAACAGAATGTGACTGATGACGAATTTCTGCACTTTCAGACGTAGTCCGTGGAAAGATTATTGAAGAAAAGATTGCGGCTCGGTTGGCATATGTTGGGGCTACAAAAGTTTATCTCGGCCCGGAAGGCCACGGAGGCCGTGCGGAGCCAAGGTCCCTAGATAAGCTTAGGTAACACGCACCGGTCCGAGTGCCGCATCTCCTTAGGTCCAGGATCTGGGACTCTCGCAACTTTACTATTTCTAGAAATCAAATGATGGATTCCGTACTACATGTATCAAATTATGATAAACTTTGCAAATTATGGTCAAAAGACGTCGGGGGGGGGGGGGGGGGGGGGGGGGGGAAATTTAAAATTCGGTGTCCAAACATTAAGCAAGCCCGAAAAAAATATAATCAATTTCTGTCTCAAAATAACCCATCGAAATTCAAAAGGCACCTTTAGTCTCTTCGGACCTTCGATGTACTCATAATGCGGTAATTCTTCCAAAGCCTCTCTCAAAACCTGGAACCCTTGGAAGAGATCAGCATCAGGGATGGTCAAAGCAACACCCAGACGAATGCGACCATGGGGACCGGGGAAGACGAGGAGACCTTTGCTGGCGCACAGCAATGAAAACCGCCGAGGAGTGATTTTCTCAGGTCTAGTTTCGTACTCGGTGTCAAGTAAGATATTTAAGTCGGCGCCGAAAGCCGGACAATACCGCAGCCAGGGGAATTTCCATGTCGATGTCTTCGAGACCCATTTGGCGTGAATATCTCGGGCCCGCTGTTCTAGATTTTCCTCTTCGTAAATCTGCAGTGCGGTGGTCACAGCTGTGACAGCCATTGAAGACATTGAAAATGTGCTGACCGATTGGTATGGCTTCATTTTGTCCATGACTTCATCTGGGCCGAATACAAATGAGGTTGGCCACACGCCTCCAGAGATAGACTTTCCCATGGTCACCATGTCCGGTTTTTGCTCGGGTCCCATCCAGTCACAACTTAAGGACTTGCCGGTCTTGCAGAAACCCATACGAACTTCGTCTGCGATGAAGAGGATGTTGTACTGCTTACACAGCTTTCGAACGCCAATGCAAAATTCAATCTCTTCCTCCATAGACCTTGGGACTGTGAGTCAAACTGGTCGAACGTGTGTTAGGTATAGGTGTGGAAGATGACTCACCTGGCAAGTCCATGAAGTGGCTCCATGATGACTGCAGCGATGCGTTCATGCATCTGCTCAAATATCTCTGCATAGTCTTCAACATGAAGGTAGCGAAGAACCTTGCCTGTTTGGGGATTGATATTCGTCATGTTCTTGCTGAATGTCGCGAATTCTGATCTGCACATTATTATAATTATACGGTGAAGCGCTGATATGATGTAATGGCCTACCTCCCCAACCAGCCTCCGGCTCCATGAGAGGCCACACACCGGAAAGTGTACCGTGGTAGTTGTCTGAAGTTCCGAGTACAAGGACCTTTTCCGGGTCGATCTGCTTGATGTCGACTCCCCATCCGCGCGCCAACTTGCAAGCGGTATCTGTAGCTTCGGAGCCAGATGTCATGACCAACACCTTTTGATAGCCAAACTTATCACACAAGCGTTTGGCTAGATGGGGCCATCCCTCCGCTTGGCCGGCAATGTTGGCGAGTGTGACTAAGTGCAAGTCAGCACAAGATTATCAGGAACGTAGCTAAAGTATGGTGTTCACTTTTCTTAGCTGAGTTTACTTGCGCTTCCAAAAGCCTTGGGTGGCATTGCCCAAGGTTGCTGGCACTAAATCCACAGATGAAGTCAATTAGCTCCCGCCCATCAGAATCCTTGAGCTGAAGTCAGTGTCAAGGGCAAGGGCCATTGGGTCTGGGGAAAATCTTACACGAAGTCGAGAACCTTGTCCAGAGACTAGGTACACTGGCAAGGAGTTGATCCCTCCAACGCTGTAGCGCTTGTTAACCTCGTCTAGTGCACGGCCAGGTGCCGGCAGTGAGAGAGAGAGTTTCGTTGTTGCCACGCTGTTCGACATGATTGACACACTTAATTATCTACTGAATTCGCCGGAAAGAAACAAACTGAGGTGATGGATAAATGTTGTGTTGAAAACGAGCTCAAGTTATCTGCACGCAATAATGTCCCTTTTCAAACTGGCCTCATTCCATCAAGAGGGCCTCAGGTGCGAACATCGCAATATCCTAATCGGGAAAGTTTACCACCAGCATCACGTTAACCGTAGCCCAGAGGCCCCTTACTGCGAAATATTGCACGCAAATGGTGTAACATAATATTATCTCAGTCGACGGCCAAGAGTCTGATGGACTTGATTCACGATTGCAGATTGCTTCGGAGAAGCGCGGACGTTTGCCGCCTTGAGAATGCCGTTATCTCGGAAAGGGGGCTTGCGAGCGCCCGGAAGTCCACAGCAGCCACCGTATTTTCAGAGCAGTTTTCTGCATCACAGTCCTGCCCTCAACACCGCATGACTTCATTGGCACAAGCTGGGAATCTCAAAAAGAGCTAATACCATAATCGCCTCATTTGCGGAAAAGTTGCCTCTTTTCAAATCGCAGCCACTGTCACGCGGTCACAGCACGAGGATGCATCAATACTGCGGCGGAAAAGTTGCCCAAAACGGACTGGTCGCGCTCCATCTTTCTCCGCCGGTGTCCCCCATCACAGCAAATTGAACTAAGTTGCGACTCATGGCTAACGGTCAATCAATCGGCATTTCTCTGTTTATCTCCCATGTATGTACCTTCTCTTAGAACTAAGATAAGGAAATCGGATATGTTTTCTTTCTGGTTGAAGGTGCGGCGGTCGGCGCTCTCGGATTCCATCTTACATCCCGCGGCGTCCGCTACCACGTTCTCCCAAGTACGCAGTAGCAGTGCATTGACAGCGATGGGGATTTGGTCAGCTAACAAGAGCAATAAAAACGAGTCTGATCACCTAAAAAGCCTCTTTTTGGGTCTATTCAAACCTCTACTCTGTATCAGAGGTCTCGATCATCAAATTTGTTCCGTCATCACAGCAAACCGCTTCAGCTATGCTGCAGGAACCGATTACCCTGCAACTTATTCCGGTCCCTCGGGACCAGATCATGCTCATTGCATGTACTTTGGTCGTCGTGCTATGGGTTTGGAAAGCCCGTCTCCAAGCGACATGCAAGATTCCAGGCCCCTGGCACTTGAAATTGACTGGCATATTCGTCAAATATCATGAACTATTCGGTTATAAGAGAAAGTGGATTCACAACCTTCATCTTCGGTACGGTCCCGTTGTTCAAATCGCATCCAACGAAGTCTCTTTCGCAAGCTACACGGCAGCAAAGCAAATTTACAGCGCTGGGAATAAAGATTTCCGAAAGACGGAGTTGTACTCTCTGTTCGAGCAAGACGGTCACATGTGAGTGCCAGCCGCGGGGGTTCCTCTTGTCCATTCATAATCTGACTTCTAAAGCAACCTGTTCACTGCCCTTGATCATGACAGCGTATGAAGACCACTTTCGGTCCGGAGACGACGCGCTCTATGGCTAACTTGACCGATTGTAGCACAGCACCATACGGCGCCATCTCGCTGATCGGTACTCAAACTCATCGGTTCTTCGGCCCCAGATTACCGAGATGATAGATGAGCGAGCCAAAGCCTTTGTGGCGGTGTGTGCGGCATCAGATACAGCAGACATCTATGTTGGTTTCCTGAGGTTGTCTGCATGATCTGCCTACTGACTATCTGCAGTTTTCTTTGCATGCATACGCTCTTGACTGTGTGACTGGGATGTTGTTTCATCCTCACAGAACAGACTCACTAGTCGATCCTAGTGACAAGCAGATGGTACAACTGCTTTCTTACTCCAATACCCGTGAAGGTATATCTTACGAACGCTTATTCGAGCTAAAGCACAATTTTCAATATGTTCTAATCACTGACTTTTTCTGTAGTTACACTTTTAACGCATTACCTCCCGCTACTAGCGGCACTTTGGGCAGCTCTGTTTCCCAAGTTTCCCGAACTGGAACGGGGAAGTAGCATGGTGCGGAAATTTGTGCAAAGCTCATTGGAAACCGGGGATCATTCTGATTTCACCGTCGCAAGAAAGCTTCTAGAGTCAAGCCACATCAGCAGGCCTCTGGCTGAAGCTGAGTGTCTCGACCACATTGGCGCCGGAATCGAAACCACAGGCGATACTCTGTGCTGGCTCATGTGGGAATTGTCTCAACTCAAACATCAAACTAAAATGGAAAGGCTTCATAACGAGCTTGCTGAAACAGGCATTGGAAGATCTCTTAAATGTCTGCCATACCTCAATGCTGTCATTCAGGAAGGTCTGCGTCTGTTCGCCCCGGGGACGCTACCTCTTCCACGCTATGCGCCAAAAGAAGGCGCTTTCGTGGATGGATACTTTATTCCCAAGAATACTATCGTGGAGTGTAACTCTTACTGCATGCACCGTTTGGATGAGAGCACATTCCCGAACACAAACGAGTTCATTCCCGAGAGATGGCTGGATGCCGAAAGCCACACTGATCGACAACGGCTATTCTTCGCCTTCGGGCTTGGTCCACGGACCTGCATAGGCCGACAGTAAGTTTGACTATTTCAGATGCTTCAGCTCTCAGGTGAAGATGAGCGAGAATTATACAGATTGCTAACATGATGTACATTTTGTAGTCTTGCTGTGGCCGAGATGAGAGCTTGCTTGAACGCGGTGTATTCCAAGTATCGTACCATACCCGCCCCGGATATGCGTTCAAGCATGGAGATGGATGACCAGGTCCTAACATCTCGTCCACGAGATCTGTGCTGCAAGATTCAATTTGTGCCTTGGGGACCCGAAGCATGATGTATTGAAGTATCTTCATCATATAATGCAGACATGAGGTGTATATGGATATGCACTTTTACAGCTCACTCATTTGCCTCACAGTCGAGCTCATGTATGAATGAATATTGTACCCAAGAAAATTTGCAGGTATCAGTGGTGGGATTCCAGCATTACTAAGTTCCTTGATCTCTCATAGGAGTTGGTACAATTATTAGCATTATTATTTGACGACGCTCAGCTTTTATCTATCGCCATGTCTCATTAATCATTAAACCCGCCCAAGCAAGATATCCGAACCTATCCTGAGTGAACCTATATACTCAGCCAGCATTCCAGTACATGTCAATCTCCTTGATCCTGAAGACCGCGTCTTGGGACGGCGGCCCCGCACTCCAGTACTTGTCGCCGTCGGCCCAGTTGTTGAACACCCAAGTGCCAGCCACGGATGGAACGTTCTTCGTCGAAGTCCAGACCAATTTGCCATCAATGTAGAACATGGTCTTACCAGGCACCCAATCCAAGCGGTACTCGTGCTCAGTAGTCGTCGGATTGGCTGGCAAAGCGACAGGATTTGTCGTCTTCAGGCCACTACCATCCACTGCTTGGTTTGAAAGCCATAGATAACGCGTGCCGGATTTGGAGTTGGCAGTTCTCGCTGCATCGGTGTTGCTGTTCGATTGGCCGTTTGATAGGAACTCAATGTCCGTCTCTTGAGTATCAGACTGGTAGAAGAACATTCCTGGGCAATTGTTAGCATGCGGCTTGGTATACTGGGAGGATTCAATCTTACCGTTGCAGACTCCAGCCGGCTCAGAGAGAATAGCCACTGTCCGAACAGAGGCGTACTTGATTTTTGACGTGGTCGTAACCTCGGCCGATCGAAATGACTTGTTCTTTACCCAAAGTTGTAGGTAGCCCCCGCCAACAATCACGTTCGCGGGTGAAAAGAAGTATGTGTCAACTGGGTAGTTGCTCATTTTCAGTCCCGCAGGAAGAGAGGTGGCTTTGCTGAAATCATAGTATGAGTTCTTCTGGAAACCGTATTTGCCGTCGACCATCCACATTCCTTTCGTGTAGACGCCTCGCGCGGACCGTTGCGCGGTGGCCAGGCCTGAGACAAGCAAGGCGACAAAAATCGATAATGATGGATGCATGATGTGGTTGGAGCCTTGTGTGGATGGAGAGTGTGCCTCTTCCATCAATACCCAACGTCGACCCCGTCATATATACCGTTTGACGCCCTCAGGACATGTTCTTGGAAGCGGCCGATGATCGTCTTAGACAATTTTCTTGGTCCACGGCGTGGCGCGCTCCCGTGCGGGCCAGACGCTCTTAGGGTCCTGCGGCAGTGGCCGATGGCTATAGCTTCACGGCTAAGACATTCACAATACGCCAGACGAAATCGAGACAGGTCCGGAGATTTTGTCTGCCCGGCCGTTTTCGGGGTGTGCTTAGCCCCAAAGCGGCATTCCAACGACGCTTTCACCACAAACGGCCAGGAAAGCTCCTTTCATCCAACAGCCGGGAGCTTGGCCAGGCTGGTGATTTTCAGGGTAGACGACTGGGCATGGGTGGCTCAGCATGCTTGCGGCTCACGGCATTTCCAGTCCGACCAACCGAGCTACAAATTTTCGCTTTCACCGGGAGCCATACAAGATGAGCACTCAACACCGTCGATCCAGAGACCAGCCTAGTCCAAGCTTCGTCATCCGGCCGCAAGAAGACCTAGATTGCGTCAATTCATGTGTGTGCCAAGAGCGTAACATAAAGGAAGAAATCAGGGTCCAAGAAGACCCTACATCTAGATTCATCACACTGACGATCCGGCTTCGTCTCTTCAACGGTAGATGTCATGTCGAAATTTGATTTTTTTAAGAATGTGACAGCGCCTCTTTAGTCAAACGGCACGTCATGGTGTCCCAAGCCTCGTCTACTGCACGAGTGATGTGACGATGCAGGACCTGGAAATATGCATCAGGTAACATGGGTGGATAAACCCGCCATGGAGTCCGGATGGATAAGCCGACATGGTAAGTGAGCCGCGAACCACACCTCCTTGGTCTTTCGTGGTGTCTGGTCCAAGAAATTCGGTCTCGGTTGGCCACGATGCGGGTCGTACAAGTCGCATGCTGGGCAAGCAATCCACAACTCGTTTGGGTTACCCACTATCCTCGATAGTCTAGTGGTGAGGATATCGGCTTGTCATTGACACGATTCGCCGGGGACCGGGGTTCAATTCCCCGTCGAGGAGATTTTCTTTTGCTTTTGTGTGTCTTTGAGAATAGAGGGCAGATACACCTCTGTGACGGTTGTTTGTAACCGTCTTTATTATCCATCCCACACCAATAGTTGGATTCCATGGCTTACACGCCGCACAGCTTCTGGTGTGCGGTATTTCATCCAAAAAAAAAAAATTGATAGGCTGTAGTTGCAGTTACTGATTGCATTTTGCTGGCCGTGCTTTTTTCATCATGATTGGCTTGCGACGGAGACGAAGCGACAAGACGAAGCGCTGGACTGTGGTTTTGGCGTCGCGTTTTCGGCGTCCTCAGATGTGCTCATTTGATCCGCAACGAAGACAGGACAGCGAACGGAAGGATGACTGCAATAAGTTAAGGTGCATCAACATTCCAACAAGTGCCATGGCCCAGCCACCACCGGAGCGGAGAATAGTGACGGGGGGCACGGGCCCAGATTCGGGTGGGATTCCGTAGTCGAGCGGACCCGGCATCCGGGGTTAGCACCGAGGAAAACGAAGGATGATTTGCAACAACGAAGAAAGGTAACGAACAGACTTTTGGTTCAGCACTGCAGGTCTTAGTATAGTTCTCTGAGTCTATTTCGAATAAAACGGAAAAAAGGTGTCCAAGTCACAGATTACCCCAGATTTCGTTGTCTTTTAGGCCAATCCCATGTAGCCATTTTTTATTTTTTCCTCCACGCCCCAAGGCTTTTACAATGCTGGGGACATACTTTGACAAGCTCACGGGAAATTGTATACTTTTGGAAGCATGCTGCCGCTTTCGAAGAAGCTGGAATGGGATACCCTTAAAATCAGAGGCTTGAATGGGCTAGCCCAGAGAGCCAGGAGCGAGCAGGGTGCGCTAGGTCTCCGCTTAGCTCCGGAGACTATCTATCAGCCACCGCTTTATCGTACCTACGTTCAGACCATGGAACTCGTCTGGATCGTGAGAAGAAGGCAGTGTGATCCTGGAGGTAAGCTGATGTGATGTCTGAGGACATTTGAACAGCCTCACTTAGTCCACCAATCCGCCTGACCCAACCCATTACTGATTATATTTCACGAGACATCACCACGACGCGTTTATACAAAAGCGTCTACTTACCCGCATAACCCGAACAGATTTTTTAATCGTCATCAGTCTTCATATTCAATCAGCTTTCTCTCCTATCTTTTCGCTATTCTCTACTTATCTCGTCGCTCTACGCTAGCACACAATCCCTATTGCAATCCACGGCACCTCAACAAAAATGAAGTTCTTCGCCGCAGTCGCTATCATTCCCACCATCGTCTCTGCGCTGGCCATTCGTGCGGCTCCACCCCCGGCCCCAGGGAACAACTGGGACGTGTACGCTCAGGACACAGCTCAGCTCAAGTCTCGTGGACTTTGCCGCGCTTATGTCGGCAGGGACAAACCCGCCAAAGCCGTCTGGGGCGCCAACATGTGCGCCGACTTTTGCGCACCGGCGAGACAACTGGCCCAGGACCAGAAGGTGTTCAGCGTCACCTGCATAGGCTCCGGACCTGCCCAGGGAGACTTTCCTGACCCTGAGGGCTACCGTTACGATCTCGGACAGTGCAAATGCAACGACCCTGTTATCAACTGGATTACCGAAACTGTCATTGTCGAGGGTCTTCCCGCCCTTGGCTTGGTCACTTGCTCTGTTTTCAAGATTGCTGTGACGGAGACTTTCGATCTTCTCACGGGTGTTGCCCGCGGCGCGCTTGGAACTGGCACGCAGACCTTGGCCAAGGTGGCGAAAGCACTCATCAAGGCTGGAAAGGGGTCGTCGGACTGGGAGGCTTACGTTAAAGAGCACCTTGCGGCTGGGGATGCGTGCGATTTCAGCGCTGCTAAGCTATTCAACGACTTCAGCAAGCTCACGGACTATAACATTGCCAACGTCATGTAGATGGGTCACCGGTGGTTCGCGACAGGCAACCCTCGACCTGATTGCGGAAAATACGTTCCACAGTCTACGGCATATGTCACTCGAGAAGCGAAACAGAGACTCGTGTTTTACTAATTATTGTTGTTTCATTGGTCTTTTGGTTTCAGTCAGCAGTTTTTAGGTAGGAACTTTTGGTCGCAACCGAATGAGACTTGTTTGGAGATTCCTGCATTGGATTTTATCGCCAGCATACCTAGATAGTACGTTTACCTTACAAATACAAATAAAATGATCTATTTTGATACAAAAGAAAACAAACCCGCCATCTGAAGTGTCTGGATACCATTGTGGTTGGCGAAGTAACAAGCAATCCAAACGGCTTACTTGTTATAGAGTCAAGACAAAGTCCAACTGTTACATACTAGCTCTCAAGACAGTGACCTCCCTGTAAGACGCATCGCCGCCTTCGGTGAACATCGACCCGGTGTGGGTATTGTAGGTCAAGTCGGCGAAAGCCTCAACAATCCCAGCAACCACCTCCGCCGCTCTTCCAAACTCCAAAGTTCCCAACTCGGCCTGCAACAGCGCCCAGCGCTGCCGTTAAAGCCAATAAATTAAATAACGCCAAGATTTGACTGATTTGATTGCCCCTACGCCAGTATTGGTTGATTTGCCCTGTTGGCCAATATAACAAAGCAAATCCATAGAACACGTGACTCAAAGCCGCC